CTTTGCCCTTACCACAGCAACAATCACCCCAATTATTCTCGCACTGATCATGAGCAATGTACTTATCATCCCACGCACTCACATTTCACGCATTGACTTCACTTGTCCTATATAACCATTGTTCTGTATTCTGTATCGCATTTGACGATCTGAACCCTTTCTTGTTGTTCTCGGACCGAATTGTATCTCTTTTGAAACTGCGTTGAGTGGAAGCGCTACTATTGAGGTTTGTAATATTATTGCTTCCTGATTGTTCGTTAATAGTACCGTCATCTTGTCTAGTGTTCTTGTTCTTTGACTGGCTGGATACGCGTTGGCTCAAGGCCCTTCAAAGCGAATTGTCGCTTACACCCTCCATGTCGATGAGGAGACAGTCCACAGCGCGTTAGGAGATCTCAGCGGGTTATGGGGGTTCACGACTGAGCACATACACTGCGCGATATTCTTTCTCGAGCTTGCGTCAAAACCATGAAGAAAGTGGCATTGATTTCACTGCGCGGATTCAGCAAGCCCTAGCAGTGTCTGTATAGTGAAATCCCAATTACGAAGTTCGAAGAGGCGATGGCTTTACAGTACTTGATATCCGGTATCCGTAACAGACAGTTTCATGAGAGGGTGTTGTCGGAAGAGGAGACGACGATGAGCTGAGAGCAAGTCTGCAATATTGTTCGGCAGCTGGAGAATGCCCACAAACATTCAGCAGGTTTTGCCTCGCAACCTCATACAGACACAATCCAGGCAATCGATCGAAAAGGTGTTACCCCGAAACGGTCCGAATTGCCTTATACCTGTTACCGATGTGGAAGTCAGCATTTAGCAGCCGAGGAATGCGGTCATAAACAGATCTGCCGCCAAGGTAGAAAATTAGTGCAATTGACCCGAGTTTGCCGATCTAAAACTTGCACAGCCACGACATCACGTTTTCCCAAGAAGCCAGTGAAGGTCGTCCAATCTTCAGACGAAGAAGACTAGCTAAACACGATATGGAACGTAACGTCAAGTATCTGTAGTTCACCCACCCTACACTGTGCAATTGGAAATAGAAAGGCAGTTCGTTAAAATGGAAGTTGATATCGGTGCCTCAGTTATCAGAATCGGTGCTGCATCAGTTAAAAGATTACCCAAGTTATCCCCTTGTGAATCAACTTTGCGTACGTACAGTGGGCAGCCGACACCAGTCCTGTTCATGTAAATTCCAATGGGGTGGAATGGACCTTACAGACATATGCTGTGGCAAAGGACTATCCAAATTTACTCAGGCGCGACTGGCCACGCTAGAGACAGTGCAGTTCATATCCATTAACCAGCGTTTGGAGAATGTGCTCAACAAATATTCTGACGTTTTTGATGAGAAGCTAGGAAAATTACACGAATATCAGACTAGTATCAAATTACGACCGGGAACTCAGCCCCACTTTTTCAGGGCACCTACCCTACCTAATTCCCAAAAATCAAAGGTGGAAGACGAGATAGAGATTGCAATCAGTAGGAGCAATCGAGCCAGTCCAATACAGTGAGTGGGGATCTCCAATTGTTCCAGTCCTGAAGCCAGATGGTTCTGTGCGCATTTGTGTTGACTAAAAACTAACTGTTAATCGCTGTTTGATTCTGGATAAGTATCCCTTACTTCAGATAGAGGATTTGTATGCTAGGTTGGTAGGCGGAGAAAAGTCTACAGAGATCGACCTCAGTCACGCGTACTTACAAATTGAGTTAGACGAGACCTCTCGCTCAGGGGCTATAATAAGTACACACACGGGTCTATTCCAGTACAAACGTCTGAACTTCAGAATCAGTTGGGCCCCAGCGATAGCCCAAAGGATTATTGACAACCTGATCAAAGATATTCTTTTTACTTGCGCCTATCTTGACGACATTCTAACTACAGGACGCACAGATGCTGAATTATTACAAATGCTATCCACTGTGCTCGAACGTCTACATCTGAGTGGACTCAAACTGAGTACATGCAAGAGTAAGTTTATCTCAGATTCCGTTCGTTACTTGGGTTACCGCCTCGACAAAAACGGACAAAGTAAAGTCCATCTTTGTCGCACCTGAACCCAAGAATGAAGCTGAACTCCGATCGCTTTTAGGGATGTTTTCTCACTATCGTTGCTTCTTACGTAAGGTCTCAACAGTATTTGCACCCTTGTAGGAACTGTTTTGGACTTGGAGTCCGGAGAAAAGAAAGGCCTTCACAGATGCAAAAGGAGTGCACAGCGCCTTCCCGTATCTCGTGTATTTCGACCCGAGCCGTTCTTTAGTGCTGCAGTGTGATGCTTCCCCACGCGGAGTAGGCGTAATCCTTTTCCACCGGACGGATGACGGTTCTCTTCGTCCAATCGCTTTTGCTTTTCGTACCCTGCAACCCGCTGAAAGAAATCACCCAACTGGATAGAGAGGCCTTAGCGATTATTTTCGGAGTCAAGCATTTCCAACAGTACGTCTGGAAAAGACAGTTTGATATCCACACCGACCATAAACCACATATTTCGCTTCTGGAGGAGAAAGGAATCTAACAGATGTCTTCGCCTCGAATGCAAAGGGGGCACTACTTTTGAGCGCCTATAACTACAAACTTTAGTATGGAAACGGACCAAGTAATACAATTGCCGATGCACTTAGTCGCCTCCCGCAGCAGTATGGCACAAAAACGAATAGTGAACCCATGGAATTTATCAATTTGATGTAACAACTTGAAAACACGCCCATCCGGAGTGACGTGGTGCGGCGGCTGACTGACCGGGACCCTGTGTTGTCGATGGTGAAACGATTCTTGATGACCGGATGGCCTACCAGCACGTCCGACGAACTTAAACCATTCGCCTGTCGGAGTAATGAGTTGAGTCTATACGACGGCTGTATATGTTGAAGTTCGCGCATACTTCCATCAGAAGAACTACGGCCCCAGTCGCTGAGAGAGCTGCTTGATGCACACCTCCGAGTGAATAGGATGAAGGCGCTGGCCCGTGGTTACCGTTGGCGGCCGAACATTGACCAGGATATAGAGTGGTTGCTGAAAAAATGTGAAAAATGTCAGAAATACAAAAGGAAAAAGTCTTCCGGACCGATGCGTCCATGGCGCTGGCCGAAGAGGCCCTGGTAGCCGGTACAGGCGGACTATTTTGTCCCAATCAATGGGATGATGTGTCTACTTTTGATTGATGTCCATTCTAAATGGATAGAAGCATTTCCAGTTCCACACGCGATTTGCGCAGCAACAGTTGCAAAAATGCGTTCCATATTCGCCATTTTCGGTATCCCAGAGACGGCATGCACCGACAACGGAACCACATTTACCAGTGAAGAGTTTCAACGGTTCCTGAGTAATGACGGAATGCAGTATATTAAGTCAGCTCCGTACCATCCCGTGTCGAATGGAATGGCAGAAGGTGCAGTCTAGACTGTTAATAAAGGTCTACCCAAACAGACTAATGTAACTCTACCAACTAAATGGGATCATCTCCCGTTCCCCTACCGCACGACATAGACTGAGTCGACAGGAAAGTCACCCGAGGAGTTAATGTTTGGTAGGCCACTACGAACGAGACTGCACCTACTTTTTCTGAACCCTCGAAGGAGAATGGAGAAAAGCAGAAGAGAACGTGTGGGGATGGAAAGATGACAGAGGAAATGTGTCTTAATGATTTTGATCCGGTATACACAAGACCGCCTTACGAAACAAGCTGGCAATCTGCTACACTCATATCCTCAAGGAGTAAACAAGCGGAGCTACAGCTGGAGGATGGTCGTGTGGCGCGGCGCCAGTTTGCTCATATCCGGCCATGCTCAAACGAATCACATAAGCAGGATCAAAAAGCGACTGTTACTGACCCCAAAAGGGACGGAGAATCTGCCTCACAAAACCAGGAACTACAAACGTATGTGGCACAACCATAATTAAGACGATCCAAACGCACGTGAAAGCCAATTGATCGGTATCAAGTCGGAGTCTGCAGTCTTTACCAGGGAAGAAAGGGGTGTCACGTACGCACTTGGGTATCGATTCGTGAACACAGGCACTCATATGATTGGTTGACAACGACCTTGGCTTACTTTCCTTATTTAATTGGTCATTCGTTTCAGCACTTCTAGCCACTGTAGCTGTAAGCTTTAATTAAAAGTTTCCATACTACGCGTGCGCGTTCTGTTCCGTTCATTGGCTAAGGGCCATGCTTAACAAAAAGTAATCAAATAATTGAGGTGGATCAAAGTGGCTGGCCCCACCATAAACGGCGCTACGAGCAGCCTGAGGACGATGGATATTACATGGAATGGGAAAATTGGAGTAAGGTGCCCACTTGAAGTAACCCAGACTGACTCGCTCAGTGAATGCAGGTGGATCGGAGTGCTGATAAAAATGTGCCCAATGACGATGAAGACACAAAATCGGTTGGCTCATAGTGTTCACGCCGTGAAAAGCGTGGTGTGGACCCTGTTCAGAGCTAGGCGGGAAGTAGGTGAGCATTACAATAAGAGGGCTGATCAGAAGCGACAGGAATCATGACTCCACTTGCCATAATGGAACAAAGGAAAGGGAGGTTAAAGTTTATGAAGTAACTTGATGCACACAGACTAGGATGCAGAGGATATGCGGCAATGATCAAGCGATGGAAATCGCGATTGTGAGAGCGAACATGACGCAAGCGACGCAGATAGAGGATTTTGTGAGAGTGCGACTCATACGACATTGTACGGATATATGTACATAAGGAAAAAGCCTTCAGATATCCCGATACTAGCGCATCAAGTCTCCTTGAGTGAAGTGCTTGTAGAGAAGACAAACTAAAGCTACTAAGTGTATCATTTTACTGCATCCCAGGCGGAAGTTGGAGAAAGTGTAAGGCCACATAGTCAAATATGACAGAATGTCTTTCGGTTGATAGTGATGACAATGGAGTCTTGCAAATTTCGATCACCCAAGAGGGTTAGTCGCCGTGAACGCTAAGTGAGGGAGCCAAGCGCAACCAGGTAAGCTACGCAGTAGGGGTACTTACCTGTACACTTTCGACTGTCGATGTGACAGTACGATCCGTTGAGGTCTCGTCAACTGGATTCCACTCCACGTCATACGGGGGTTTCGGTGGGTGAGTGAGTGATCCTCCCAAGTGTCCACCGACTGCGGCTGTCCGCATAAGACACACATCCTTCAGCGAAAAATGGAAAAAAGTTGGGATTGAAAAGGGAACACGAGGAACCGGTGTGGAAGAAGTAGTGATCAGATGCATAACGATCAATCCTCCAACAAGAAGTACAAGCATCTGAAACGCAATCATAGTCCACTGTGGTTGACGAGAGAACCGATCAGCGATCCAAGTTTGTCGACTGGTGTAGACTGGGAATCGCTTGAGCAGATGAAACCATGCTTTAGCTGGTGCCAGTGAAGTTCGACTCATTCAATCAAGTACGATTTAAACAACGAAGCATAGCTAACTTAAACGCATATCAACATGATGGCAGTGTTGTCAAGAAAAAATGTACAGAAGAATCGAAAACGCTGGAACTATCAACTGAAGGGAATAATAATCCCAAGAAAGAAGGTTAAAACGACAACATTGAGAATCTCTCGATTGGTCAATGTGGATAGGGCCTTAGGGATGATGGGAACAAGTTCGGTACCCATCAGCGAAGACACTAGGCGCAAAACGGATCCAATAATTCAGTGAATTATGTTGCCATGCCACAGGGTGACATCTGAATGGCTAGAGAAAAGAGACAATGGCAAGATGATCGGTAGACTGGATTCAAATATATGTAGGCAGCTCCGACAGATAGTTATGCCAAATTGCAAATACCCACAGGTTAACCTAAGCATTACTCATCTGGCGACTCCATTGGACATGAAGAAGAGCTGGTGGCAAAACATGTGTCTCATTCGGTACGGGCACTTTACCCCGAGGCCCAACTGCTAACGCCTTCCGTCCCGTTCTACCATTCGTACTTTTCAGATCCTTTTTCTCAAGTTGAAAGGACTGCAAATGATTTTGTAACTGATGCTAATGAAGCACTCAAATTGTGCTCCAGACAAAGCCATCCATTCACATTGGTTCCTTTAATATTCGCATTCCGGATGTAAGTGGACAGGAATTGCAAACATTCCATTTGAATCGATGAGTGCTGTTTCCGGAACAGGCTAAAGGTATTCGCATTGCGATTAATTTTTGATTCAAGTGCACAACCATTTGTTGGAGCTGACAAAGGTCTTTCTCTCTGCTCTCTACACACCATTAATTCCAATGACTGACTTCCGCCACGGTTCGTGTCGTGGCAAGCCTGAACAGAAAGCGCTGATTAAGCAATAGCTTCTTTATGCCACTTGATCACCTAATTCGGCGTACGATGTTAGCCGACGCTACATTTAGTTGGATGAAGTGTGGGGTAGTCATTTGAGATGACAAAAAGGCATGAATAAAAAGACTGGGAGACGGTCAGGCAGGTTTATGGCGCATTTGTGGATGGGAGGTCGGGAGAGCCTATATCAGTGGTTAGAGAGCAGATATGATACAGAGCCGCCGAGGAGCCAATGGCGCGTCTGTATTCGAGTGCTCGCAATTGGCTGCCAGCACTTTAACCCCATTGGAATAATTCGCCAAGCTCTCAATCTCACTCCGTTACATACCAGTTTGCGTCGCAATCAATAGTTACAATCATTCTGACGGGAGTCACATCGACATTCACTGCAGTCATCTAGCTGGACTGTGATGCCAGAAATCAGGCTGGTCGTTTAGTGCGGCCGCCAATCAGAGCACAATCCCCTTCTTTGCTTATCCAAGTTTCGAAGTTCGGCGACCAAGGTGAGGCTACAGACGGCGCCCACACTCGCGAAATATCAATAAGCAGTAAATTAATGGCGAAGCGCATTGATTGTCCATGCATTCTGTCACATGTAGGCTAATTATTTGTCTGAGTTTACATGGAAAATAATCGAATCAGGACTACTTCGCTTAAATGTTAATGTTGTTCCGAGAAGACAGATTTATCAACTTCGCAAAACGACAGTTCGAAGCGAGATAATGAATGCATGAGTGATGCTGATTTGTTAATGATATCAAGTCGATTAGTAGTCCTGATCGTCGAGGTGGGCGATCGCTTGGCCCCTCATCCAGACGGACGGTGAGCATCACCCTTGGGTTTGGCACGACCAGACACCTCCTGCATAGGCAGTCGACATGGAGATAGAGTAAGCAACGTGGTGAGAATGAGTGGAACAGATTGGGGACATTAATCTGAAGAGTCTATTAGAGGGTATATCATAAGAGCACCGAACAGTTTCGTCGATCATGTTATGTCAGATATCGGAAACAAGGGGGAAAGCGACGTTATTTGGAATCAAAGCATTGATGACGGAGAACTGTAATGTAACCACTCGTCAGGTAACTCAACAAAATGGAATGCTAGGCGCTGTTAAAACAGTCCTCAGAGTGAGACGGAGGGAGAGGAAAACGAAAGTCATCCCAATGTAATCGAGCGAAACGGCCGGAGTTAACATGGATATAAGCTTCAGTCTGTACGGCAACTCAAGTAAACAACGAATTCCCAACGGACGCAGAAAGCGTTACCCTCGAAGACTATTAGTTTGCAGCGTCATCGGTTTCATCTACCTGAGGAGTTCAAACAGGGATGAAATCGGTCGTAGAATGCAATGCTTAGTCCAAAGAGATAACAATATTGCCAAATTTGGACAGAGGTGTGGCGATAGAAACGACTAACATGTAATTCCGTTTCAGCAGAAGCCACTTTTCATAATCCAAACCCACAGACATGCATCGAGGGACCAGACACAAACGAATCCATTGAGACACAATGTATACACCATAATCCCAACAGCCTGTGATTCGTGATCGGTACACTAAGAGTTGCAATGTCCCCCGATGGCTACGGTTCCCTAGTTAGAGCGAAAAATACGACACTGATAGACTATGACCCCAACGACAAAATTAGGTGATTAAACACGAATTGGCATGATGGACCTAAACGAACAAGGACTTCGCACAATAACCGACGGTCCCGAGATGCCGAGTGCCTGATCTGTCGTCACCGTCAACGCTCCTACAGACCGCAGTGCGGATGCAGTCAAGGGCCACTTTAACCAACAACAACAATAACAATTCAGTTTCTCAAAAAAGTCTGATATTGTCATTCTTACCGAAGACAGTGAAGCACGAGTGAGCCGCCTGCCACCAGGCGAGCATCATCTTGAAGGTCGTCTTGGATTCGTTAGAAGTCGATCAGACAACGTAGACAGACTATTGACTCATAGTTCTGTTTACCTTTCGAGCACCAGTTTTCGGCCACAAAAGAGACAGACCGCTACTTAAAGCCCGTGTTCTCAAACGTAAGGGTAGTCCCACTATGACCACATAGCAACAAGCTACAGATGGTACGGAAGCATAACAGACTGTCGACCGTACAGGTCATTTTGTCTGAACTCCGATTACGCAGTGGTTCGTGCCAAGGTTCGCGTGTGTTACAGCAGATCGCCCAGGCGTGCTCACTGCCGACCGAACGTCGAAAACCTACGTAGCCCTATGAGGCTAACAAAGCAACAGGCCTCATTGAAAAAATGCTGTTATGGTTGGCGATGAACTTACGTATAACCTGCCTAAATCAGTTTTGCCCCCCTCAGCCATTTCAAGCCATAACAAAATGAGAACGCCAAGACCAGTCGGAACGAGGGATTTCTATTGTCTGAGAGCATGGCGCAATAAATAGTCTGCAGGCAAGTAATAACAAACAATAATGAAGATGCAAATTCATAGTAAATAACACAAATCAAACAGCTCAAGTTCATGGTCCGACTTGCCACTGATTCCACATAGAATCGCGTTTTGACCTGTACTCTTGTTCGATCAGTAATTGTAGATCGATCCACTCTTGCGCCGCTGCTCTCGGCCTGAGCGCTGAGTGAAACATATCTTCCTGTAACACTCCCTCGCGCAAATTGACGTACAACTTCTGTCATGGGTCCAGCTGCATGTTAATGACGGGTCTCCGTACTGTATCATTGTAGCGTGTTGGTTGCATAATTGACTCTTCAGGGACAGTCGTGCCAAGTGCTTCAGAAACGCTCTGTGTACTGACTGGCATGTCGAAACTGTCCATCAGGATATCCAGCGGTAACGGTTGACTGCTTGTGCTTATTGATATGCTAGTTGGCCGAAGCTGATTAGCGTGCCTGCTCCAAATGTGGGCCACCATTTTAACCTTATATGGGACAGGTCTAAATCTGCTTTGGATCAGACCTGTCGCCCAGTTTGGTCTTTTAGTGTGCTAGTCTCTGGCCAAAACTTTCTTTTTCTGTGTAGAATCCGCGTGCCTATGTCCTATTTCGTTATTCATAGTAGTCCTCCATTCTCAGATTTCTTTCTTGCGGGGTATCTTGATTCGGAAACAATAACACCTTCATTGTGCAAACCTTTCGTTCCGGTAACGTTTCTGCTGGTGATAGCTGTTTGAGGACATGGGGATTCGGCATTGTCCTGTACATAAGTAGAGACGAACCCAATATCTCCTGCGTGGTTCCCTTTACCCACATTTTCAGAAAAGGTCGCATCAAAATATTGCCAAATCGGTCTGCCTGTCCGTAAGATTGTGGATAGAATGGTGGTGAGCGTACATGGGTAATGCCATTCTGAGTGCAGTACTCGGCGAAACAGGAAGAAGTGAAGTGTGACCCGTTGTCTGTGACTCGCATTTCTGGAACTCCATGTTGGCTGAAAAGCTTCCTCAGTAAGTTGATTGTTGAGCCACTGGTCACATGCACCACGCAGAATACCTCGGGCCATTTACTGAAGAAGTCAACAGCAACACATTACTGCTGCCCATTCACCGGACCAAAGTAATCTGCATGCACACGCTCCCACGGCTTCGTTGTCAAAAGCCAGGAGGCTAATTCCGCTTTACTGGCAAGTGCACATCTCTGACATGACTGCTATCTGTTCTAGTTCCAAATCGATATTCGACCAGTAAACGGAACTCCGAGTAATCATTTTCATCATTTTAATACCCGGATGGCCTCGATGGAACTGCTGTATAACCCTGCAGCAAAGTTCTGAGGAGACGGCAACTCGTGCGGTCAGCAATAAGCATCCGTTGAAGATAGGCATTTCATCCTTCCTTAGGAACAACTTATGCGGCTCACTTGTCC